AACTGAACCCACTTCCCCCATGATCCAGTCTGAGAGGAGCTCTGTCTGTGGCCCTTCCCTCTCATACACCTCCCAGCCCTTCAACTCCACTCCTGAAGTGGAACCAACAGAATACCCAGAGAAGTAACCAAGGGAATGAGACACACACACACACACACACACACACACACACACACACACAGAGCCTTTGGGACCTCCTGCTGTTTCCTTCAAAAGTTAGGTCACATGTCCTTTTCCCCAAGGGCAAACATCTGGCCTCCCTACTAAAGCAGTTTTGGCACCTTTGACCTGGCCACTTGACACAGGAAGACATGAAGGTGAAGGTGCCACACCCCTGGGGAAAAGTCTATGTTAAGAATCTCCCTCCCCCTGACTGAGGCCATCAGTGATGGGTAACTAACATTCAGGTTTGATCAGGACCCAATTCTCCCCACCCACAGGACCAGAGCCCATCTGGTGCCTCCAAGTCTTGATGGAGGTGTCCACACTGCTCCCCTAAACCTCTGGCAGACAAAGGCATCAGTAACCTTTCCTCTAGCCAGTCCACATTTCCTGCTGTAGTATTCAGTGTGACTTGAGGTGAGGTCTCACTCCTCTCTGGTCTTGAACGGCCCTGACCCATTCTCCATTGCCACTCCCCTCCCCCATGGCTGTTTTCTTTGGCTGTGACCCTTCAATTCCAGCACCTGCCCCTCCCTCGGCTACAAAAGTTTCATTTCAGTGACAAGGGACTTGCTTCTCCATAATCATAATCCCAAATTCCTGAGTACAGTATCGATGGAGCCACAAGGAGTGTACCTCGGTGCCCCTAAAATACACTAGGTATGATTTTAATAAAAAGCATTTACAAATATAGGCCCTGGTGCCCTGCTGTGAAAATTGAAACCACCTGGAACTTGGGATTCTATAATTAATCTAGCCCTCCTTTGACACCACTTCTAATTAAAGTATGATTCCCACCTTAAAAAAAGAATTTACATAAAATTTAAAGACCTAACAAGAATTTTGTAATTCTGGGAGCAAGGTGGGGCACGTTCTTCTTTCTTCCCCCCACCCCCAGTAAACACTGAGTTAGGAACATGAAGAAGGCCTTGATGTACCCTGCTTGCCCTTATTCAAACCTCTTCTTCTTTTCTCCACTCACCAGGCCCCCAGAGGGAAAGTCACAATAGCTCCCAGACTGCTTGACCATCTCCTGGCAAATCTCACACCTCCCATAGTGAGAAGGTTCTAGAAGCTTCAATGGAGCTGCATGTATATAGAGAAGGCAAGAGTCTGGTATGCATAAATATGAACTTGACTTCTGTGTGGCCTTGAGCCACAGGGTCTTCACCAGTGAACTGGGGAGAATTGACATGACCCCTCAGTAGGGCCTGGGGGGCTGTAGCATGGAAGTGCCCCATTCTAAAGTTTCAGAGGGGAAACTCAGTAACCTTCATTTTTAAGTTTCCTAAAAGCTACAAAGTTGAACCTTTCCTGGAAGAAAAGTGCACCGAGGGGCCAAGCTCACATGTTCGCATAAGAGTGGAAGGCAGCCTGCTTCCCTAGGCTCTGCTCCTGCTCTGAACCTGCTCAACCTTCTCATGGCAGGCCCCCCACACCAGATAGGGCATCTGAGAATGCCCACAAGTCTGTTGCCATTCCACACTGTATGAATTGAACCCTGAGCAGATCACCACACCCCTCTCTGAGTCTCAGTTTCCTCCCTGGTGCAAGGGGGTGGAGTTCAGCCCCATTCTGTTTCTTTCTGGAACCCTGGAGTCAAGCCTAGGAGCAGAGCAGACTCCACTGGGAGCAGGGAGGCTGTCATTAATGGAAGAATCACTGGGGGAAGGGCCCAGGACACCACCCTCATGACTGCCCCCAAGTATGTTCTATACCTATATGGACAAGATTGGCTTCCATAGGATACAATTAAAGCTCCCCCCGACCCCCCACATCCACATAGAGTAAGGAGTCCTTGTCCTCATTTCCCAGGGTAAGCCAGTGAGGTGCAGGGCTCGCTGGCTCCCAAAGTCACTCCTAACATTGCCCCACCTCTCAGCAGCAGGGACCCTGGCCATCTCCCCCATCCCACCACATCCCCAGGGTGGTTGTGGACATCCAAAGGGCCTGGGGCAGAGAGGCTAGGGCTGCAGTTCAACTCCACCCTCCCCAGACCAGGCCACCCCCATCCAGCCCAGGGAAGGGTATGAGTCTAACCACTAGCAGTCTGTTCTTCCTACCCACCCTGACCACAACATGCAGTTGAGTGTCCTCCTCTCCACTCAGAGAATGACATAATGAGGTGGGAGCCAGGCCAGAATTATGTAAAGTCTTTGGGGAGTGATAGACCAGCAGCACCAGCAGCAAGAAAGAAAAAGGAACAGACACTCCACCCAAGCTAGGTTTGCTGCAGAGCCTTCCTGGTCCTCGTCTTCCTCTACCGGCTTCTGAGAGCCAAGTTCCAAAGATGCAGCTCTTGGCTCATCTTGGCTCAGTTCCATTGGTTCTGCCTGCAACTGGCCTGGGGGATGACACGGTCTTGCCACCCCTCCCCCACCAGCCATTTCCCTCTGCCAGTCTTGCCCTCACCAGTCTTCCCTCTGCACAGCAGCTGGGAAGCGTCCTTTTAAAACACTGATGAGGCTCAGAAGGTGCTTGTTGGTAAAGAAACCGCCATGAAGTGTGAGGACCTGAGTTTGGATCCCCAACAACCCACGTGAGAGCTGGGCATGGTGGTGAACATCTGCAACCCCAGAGAAGATTCACAAAGCTCAACAGCCAGTCAGTCCAGCCAATCAGTGATCCCCAAGTTCAGTAAGAGACTGTTTCTCGAAGGGCAGTGGTGGCACAAGACTTTAATCGGAGCACGGAGACAGAGGCACATGGATCTCTGTGAGTTCAAGGTCAGCCTGGTTCTAATGAGTTCCAGGACAGCTAGGGCTACATAGAGAAACCCTGTCTTGAAAAGCCAAAAACAAAAGGGTGGGGACAGTTTCTCAAAATTAAAGACATATATGACATATATTGGGGGAAGACATATATGACATTGACCTCAGTCTACATACACACATACACACACACAATTATGTCTCTTTCCTGTGGAAAAATGTCCCAGGATTCCCAAGCAACTTAGAGAAAATCCTAGCTCTTCGGACCCATATCATCTGCCCCTGCTGCTCCCCTTTCCCGGTCTCCCAAGCACTTTGGGTCCCTTGCTATCTCTCTGACACACCTAGTTCCTGCTGAAGGCCCTTTGTGCTTGCTATCCTTCTACCTGGAGGTTGCTTTGTCCAAACCTTCCCATGGTTGAATCTCATCCCCCAGGTGGCCAAACATCACCTCCTTAGAGATGCTGTGGTTTAAATAAGAATACCCCCACCTCCCATAGGCTCCTATATTTGAATGATTAGTCTTCAGGAAGTGGTACTGTCTGAAAGGATT